TAGTTTTCAAATATTTCCCACCTCAGGACCTGGCTCGAACCATGGAACTGCATAAGCAGACGGCCTGTCTGTCAAACGGCGAATGTCTCGCCATCTCTCTCCTCTGAGGGGATCACAACACACCGCATCCGCCATACACGATCGGCCTCTCACTGTAAACCAAGTTATGTTTAAAGTACATTTAAGCAGCAACCCTACAGTGAAGAAATAAATATTTCTTCACTGGTGGAAATATAGATATACCGGTGGAAATATTTTTTCCATTAGCTGCTGACTTTGCTAAGCATTTTAACCATTAACATATTGACGGTATCCGCAATGCGTGTATCTCCACATTATTTTTTTATATTTTGTTTCATTAGTGGTCTACTCCTTAGCTCCATTATTGGTAAGAGAACATGATTTGTCGTTTATCACCATTTGTTAATCTGCAAAGGATAAAATGGCCATACTACCAATTTCATTCGGTACCACCGCCCTCCTCCTGGAACGCATTATTGTTATCTTCTCTAAAAACTATAACACCAGTTTTTGCACAGCCAACCTTCATGACGCATGATCACTTCAGCGATGCAAATTATGCCATTATCTTACTAAATGTCACCTAGGAAAAATGAAGAGTAGCATACCACATAAAGTAGGAGATTAAGATAAAGCTTGTGGTTAACCGGTTAACTGCTGCCTCATTCGAAGCAGTAGCAAGACTGCTAAGGAACTGAGGCGTGGCGCTATCACGACAAAAGGTACGCTTTTTGCTGAGCAGAACTTGCAACGCCCTCAACCACTCCACCCACTTGTTTAGTTGATGACTTGGGCGTGCTGTGCTACCAGTTTTGACTTCGGAAAACTATTCACTTTTGGCAGCCGTCTTCCAACTTGTCTATGAAATTCGTTATCAGTCAAAGCATGGCACTTGTTGGCATTATGGCGGCTATTTGAGTTGGCACGTCAAAATAGCCTTTTTCTTGACTGCCGCTCATTATGGTCGAAAACAAACGCGCAGGGGAGTGCTGTTTCGCGTATTCTTGACAGACTTCTCTGCTATTTCGCCATTCGTGTACCTTTGAGTCCCTTTCAGACCCCTTCAGAACCTATCGTTATCGCTGATTTAATTCGTGATTACTATAAATACATCCAAACAAGGATAGGTGAAGATCGAAGACTCTTCCTCTACAAAACTATAACGATAACGTTTCGGTGCATAAGAACCTTCTATAAATCAACTGAGAACTACAGCACAATATCACACATATGAAGCATTGTTGAATAACTGTCGCATCTTATTGAGGTAGCCCTACTGTAGAAGGAGCAAAAAGGACAAGGTTATGTTCTTCTATTAGGCTGGGAAGAAATTCTGATGCACCCACAGCCAAAATGTGCAATTTATTTTTTATTCTTCATTTGTTCTGAGATCCCTACCATGCTGACCGTCAGAGTCCTCAACAAGCCGCTAACCTTCGGGCAACAGTTTGATACCACATTTGTAGAAATTAGGGGAATTCTCGTCGAAAACATTTAGAAGTCGGATTTGCGGTCCTTTCGTTGTTAGCATTTTGTTCTAAAGGTGATGAGCGAACGAGCAGGAATGATGAAAGGGTGTACGGACACGTTTGGCGAATATGGCGGATGGACAACGGCGGTGAAGCGCAGCTCGAGAACATTCGCCGTGAGACAGAAGACACGCGCGGACCCGCGTCGCCGTGAAGCAGATGATTTTGTCGCTGTTTCTCGTTAGTTTTTTTTCGCAACCGTTTGGAGCAGCCAGCACTAGGTAGCTCTTGCCATCGTCGATCCTGGAGACCGAACATCGCCATGTATAAAGCCGTTACAATTGCAAAAATTTGACAGCATCACTATTACTCCATAAACATCCAAATGTCACGTCGAGGCAGTGAAAGTGAATTTTCGTCCTACTCCGAGGCACTGGTAGTTCCGCGTAAGGGTAACACAGCAGACCACTTATCTTCGCGAGTGGCCGCAACCTATCGCCTCTGCAATGCGACGCGACAAATGTGCAGATGTCCAGCCGGTGAAATCGTGCGATACTCATTGATCACCTTTCCAACACCTAATTTCTGAAGTGGGAAGTTTTCTGAAGAACGTGTTGTAAAAGCGCTCGAGGCCCTCTGCCAGAGAGTCTGATCTCTTTTGTCATCCTCAATTACAGCGCGGACGACGTTAAGATGTACAGTAGTTGTGCGTTCCGTCAGAAGGTTCAAAGTCACCGCTGCGGAGCGTTCAAGAAAGATCATGAAAGCCATCATGAAACTGCCACGTGAGAGATCTTGCCCTAGTCCATTACGGTACTGATTCTGGGCGTCTCTCATGGCCCGATGTCTCGAGGCGAAGTTCACACAGGATGAGCGCTCCGATACAGTCGATATCCGAAAGTTGGGGTAGGCGTGTCACCGGAAGTGACGTGCACTTGATAGAAACTATGTGGATAAGCTGCTTCCAACATACATCGCTGGATATCAGCAAAGCATGCTGGCAACAGCTTATCCACGCAACTTCTATCAAGTGCACGTCACTTCCGGTGACACGCCTACCCCAACTTTCGGATATCGACTGTAGTCTCGCGGGAGAAGATGATTTTGTGCGATGCAAACGCCATTACTTTAGCAACGGATCGGAATACAGTTTGCGGCACAGTCCGCTCCTTTTCCACCCATATAGGATTCCAGAGCATTCAGTAGAAATCCAGAAACACCGCAAGTTAAGTGATTCAAAACTTTATTTTCAACTTGATAGATTGCACATGAAAGGAAGTTAAGAGGAAGTGCCACGTGAGTTTCAAATGCGCTGAGAAAAAAAGGAATGACCTTTTTATAGCCACCATGGCTCTCCTCTCTTACGTTGCGCTGCCCTATATTGCTACAAGCCTCAAGCCATCATCACACCCCCTTATTGTTTGAGGTGCAAATCTATGTCACCTCCCATGTCCTTCGCTCGACATATCCAACATTTCTGCAGAGGATAACAACGACAACGGTTTACGGACTACTTGATTTTTCCTCAATGGTCCTGCCGCGATGGCTAGAGCACAGACGATTAGAGAACCTAGGACTAAGCCTTGGAGAGGAGAGGGACCCGCGAGAGAGCGCAGAGGCGGTTTAAAGGGCTGAGTTCAAGTAGTCCGTCGACCCATTTCGCACGATGACGAGATCATTGGTTTTGCCGTCGATATAATATATGTATATGGTAAAGTACACAAAGTAAAAGACAAATATGGCTTTGGTAACTGACCTTAACAGCGAACCCGCTCGAAACAAAAGGACTTTATTTGAAGTGAAACACCTTCCCAATGTAAGCCAATGTGAAGCATCAAACACGTCACTATAGAGGAGATCGTAACGAAACTACCGCATATATCGCAACAAGACCGGAGAAGAACAAGAAACTGCGCAGACGCAGATGAGTGGAATGGAATCATTGTGAATTTCACCGGTATGTCCTTGTAAATATGAAAGTTTTCAACATTCCAGATGTTCCAGCTTTTCTAAGGTGTGCTCCAATTGCGAAATGTATCGATCGTAGGGAACTGGGTCACATCCCAGGACGGAATAACGCATTCGAGTTTCATCCTTGAAAAGAAACATGAAAAGCGGAACTCTACTTATAAAAACAAAGTTGTGATTCCAGCCATAAGAAAAATGACTCACATTGTAAGTGTTAGGCTTCGCATTTATCCGCCAATTGAAGTATTTGAAACAAATATCAGTCAATACTTTATCATAAGCATCCTTCTGAAATGACTTATCGTTTGACTTTGAAAAGCAGCAAGCATAAAGCAGTGGAAACGATTACGTCAGCATCCTTGAGCTCTCCGAGTTTCTGGGCTTCCATTCCAAACACTTTTGTCGCTGAACTGGAGAACATTGTCACCCATAGAGAACCAGTTAGGTCCGTGAGTTCAGCCTAAACCACGTGTGATTACAGCAGCAAACCCTTTTCAGTTTTGTCAAAATTAAAAGAACATTTATGAATCAGATATCGACATAATTCAATCGAAGGAGTGACAGATACTTCCCACTCACCAGACCCAGAGTCAGCGTATGGTCCAAAAGCATATTCTTGAGAAGTGACAGCAATTCTTGCTTCAATTCTCAAGAAAATGTTTGTTTCGCTATAATTGCATGATATCGGCTAATATATTTGGAGAAAGGTGATAATGGCATAACTGCAAGAGTACCAGGCTCATAATGGCGGCATCGAGCCACGAACACTAAT